AGATCTCCGTGCGGCATCCTCTGTTTTCCCTTGCCTTTCTGCCCCCCCTGGCCTTCCTGGGCTGACAGGAGAGGAGCAGGTCGAAGAAGGTGAAAAGCTTCTCTGCGCGCCGTAGAGCAGCCGCGTCTCCGCGCAGAAGTCGCTGCGCGACGTCTCCTCGAATCTGCGCTAAAGCCGCGCCCACCCCGTCGGGGGCGCGTGGCTATGCGGTCACCTGGTGCCGGAGCTCGTCGTAGTCCATAGTGCCCCACCACGCCAGGTTTCTGGGCTGCTCTCCGTCTTCCGCGGGTTCCTCTGGGAGGTTGGCCGGCCCCCGCCATCCGCGCCCGGGAGGGGGGTGCCGGCGGCAGCTTCTTGCCGACGGCGTTGCTCGGGGCCCGCAGTAGCGCGCTTAACCCAGCGCGCGTCTTTGACGCACTGCGCCCTAGTACTCCGCCCAAGCTGGTCGCAGCGTTCGCGGAGGGCGTCCGCCTTCTCAACGGCGAGGGCGGCGACGCCTCCGAGCTGGCCAAAGAGCCCCACGCCGCCTTCGATGCGCCAGGGGCGGTAGAAAAGCTCGTTCGCCTGGTTCGGATTGAACGCACGCAGCCCCCCCTTCTCAGCGCGCCCCCCGCGCCCAACCGCCCGACGCAGGCGCGCCCGCCGCGACCGCATTGCGCCCGCGGCCCTCGCGGCGACCAAGGCGTCTCGCCCGGGCGGCGGCCTGGCTCGAGGGCGCGGGCCCAGCAGCGGAGGCAGGGCCCCGGGCGCGCGCGGGTCGCCAGGGAAGGCTAGCCATCGACAGGCGGCCGCGAGGAGCAGGCCCGAGACGTTGGCGTCGAGAGCCCCGCTGCCAGCCGCGACCACGCCGGCGCCCGAGAGCCGGCGCGCCAACGGACGGACGCGGGCGTCGCAGGCCACGGCCCCCAAGGCGGCGAATCCGACGCAGGCTCTCCAACCGCCTCCGAGCGCAGCCCGCGCCGACATCAAGGGCGCGGGGCTACCAGAGACCAACGCGCTGACTTGAAGCGCGGCGCTCCGTCCTCCCAGGGCGCCCTGCAGGAGGCCACTAGCGCAAGCGGGAATCCACGCGTCGGAACGCACGACGAAGAAGAGGCCTCGGACCGACATGTCGCAGGACAGGCTGGTGAGCAAGAACGCCGCATCCAAGAGTTCCTCCGCAACGAGACCTGGCTGCGGCAAGAAGTCCACGTTGCTGGCGGCGCCAGCCGGGCAGCCATGCGAGTGGCCCGACTGCGCCCCTGAAGCCGCGGCGGCACAGGGGCGGACGTGGCGCAGGTAGAAGAACTCCGCGGTGCTAGCGCGGCGCCCTTGCGAGGGTGCCGCATCGCTGCCGCGCATCGCCCTGCTGACCCACATCCTGTACCTGACAGGCGCGCCGCCCCCCCCCCCTCCGCCGCCAGTCGACGCGCCCGTCGCGCCGCGCCCCGCCGCGCTGCTGCCCGAGGGCGCCGCGATGCTGCAGCTTCTAGTCGCGCTGCCCCCTGTTGCTTCGTCGTCGTCGTCGTCGCGGTCGGCCCCCTGTCCGCCCCTCCCGGGGCCGGGTCGACGGTCCGCGGCCGCCCCGCCGCTCGCCGGGGACCGGCTGGCAGGGAAGAAAGGCGCACCCCCCCGAAAGGGTTCGATCGAAGACGAAGAGGGCGGGCATCGAGGGTTTGGGAAATAGGCGTCTTCGGACACTCGAGCAGATCAGGGCGAACAATCTTAAAATGGTGGTCGTTGTTGAACTCTCACTACTGAAGAATAATGATTGTTGATCCCCCTCCGGTGCACATTGTATTTGTTAAATTGAAGCGCGCCCACCGGCGATCGCGCCCTTTTCTGCGTCGGAACAAGCCTCGAGCCTCAAACAACGCCCCTGGCCCCCGGGTGACAACAACAACGTCTCCCGCTTGAGACTTCCTCGCAATTGAGCTAAGACCCCCGCCCCCGACTGGGACTTCCTCGCATGTCATTCAGGAATCGCGCTCTCGCTTGAGACTTCCTTACAACTTATTACAGAATCGCTCTCTCGGCGCTCTGGAGTCGCGCTCTCGCTGGAGACTTGCTTGCATTTTCCTAACGAATAGCGCCCGCGCGTTGAAATCTCCTGCAATTTACTCCAGCGCCGTGCCCCCGACACCCGGGCGCCCAGGAATCGCGCTCACGCTCAGGACTCCCTCGCAGATAACTTAGGAATCGGGCTCTCGCTGCCCTTCGTGGACCCGTTGCAGCCCTTCACGGCCCCCTCGCTGCCCTTCGCGGTTTCGTTGCAGCCCTTCGCAGCCCCCTGGCTGCCCTTCGTGAGCCCGTTGAAGCCGCTCGTGGCCCCCATCGCTGCCTTCGTGGCCTCATATATGCACGCCCTTTGTGGCCCCCGCTCGGTCGCGCCTGTCGTTCGGAAGAGGTTCGCTCTCGTCCCGCAGACCAAAATTTGTTCGCGCCCGTCGTGGCCCCAAATGCATGCCCTTCGTGGCCCCGCCGTCGCCCTTCGCGGCCCCCTCGCTGCTCTTCGCGGCCCCGTCGCTGCCCAGAGTGGCCCCGTCCTCGCCCCCTGCGGCCCCATATATGCATGCCCTTCGTGGCCCCCGCTCGTTCGTCGCAGCCCTTCGCGGCCCCCCGCTGCCCTTCGCGGCCCCGCTGTAACCCTTCGCGGCCCCCTCGCAGCCTTCAGCGGTCCCGCTGCAGGCCTTCGTAGCCCCTTCGCTGCCTTTTCCTGGCACCGCCGCAGCCCTTCGCGGCCCCCCCATCGCTGCCTTTCGTGCCCCCATATACGCACGCCCTTCGCGGCCCCGCTCGTTCGCGCCCGACGTGGCCCCATGCGCATGCGATTCACGGCCCCGCCGTCGCAATTTACGGCCCCCTCGCTGCCCTTCGCGGCCCCGCCGCTGCCCTCAGCGGCCATGTCCTTGCCTTCTGCGGCCCAATATACGCATGTCCTTCGCGGCCCCCGCTCGTTCGCACCCGCCGTGGCCCCATGCGCACACCCTTCGTGACCCCGCCGTCGCTCTTTGCGGCCACCTCGCTGTCCTACGCGGCCCCGCTGCTACCCTCAGCGGTCTCGCCCTTACGCTCTGTGGCCCCGCATTATCTGCCCTTCGCGCGCCCCGCTGGTTCGCGCCCTTCGTGGTCCCATACGAATGCCCTTCGTGGCCCCGCCGTCGCCCTTCGCGGCCCCCTTCCTGCCCTTCGCGGCCCCGCTGTCGTTCCTGCCATCGCTCTCGCTATCGCTTTCGCTGGTCTTCGTCGTCGCCGCCGTCGTCGCCGTCGACGTCGTCATCGGTCCCCTGGCCGCCCCTCTTGGGGTCAAGCTGCCGCCGATCAGCGCTGCCGCTGGCCAAGCCGAAGGTCCCAGCCTGGGCCCGGCCTGCAGGGAAGAAAGATATACTTCCCAAGAGGGACACGATCGAAGACGAAGACGGCTGGCATCGAGGGTTTGGGAAATACACCTTGGATGACACTCGAGCTCAAAACAGCGAACCGGATAAAAATGATTGTTGTTGGGGGAGCGGCCTGGGCAGCGTGGGCCCTCCCTATTCAACAACAACGGCAACGACTGCAAACAGCAGCAGCAGCAGCAACGGCAACAGCAACAACAAAAAAACAACAACATCATCATCATCATCAACAACAACAACAGCAGCAGCAGCAGCAGCAGCAACTACTACTACTACTACTACTACTACTACTACTACTACTACTACTACTACTACTACTACTACTACTACTACTACTACTACTACTACTACTACTACTACTACTACTACTACTACTACTACTACTACTACTACTACTACTACTACTACTACTACAGCAACAGCAACAACCACAACAACAACAACAACAACAAGGACAACGACAACAGCAGCAACAACAACAACAGCAGCAACAACAACAACAACAACAACAATCAGTTTTATACTGTTCGCTGTTATCTGCTCACCTGCCACTCATCACGTCGACCCCAAACCTTCGATACCCCCCTTAGGGGTCTATCTTTCTACCCTGCAACGTGCATTTTGTGGACCCCTTTACTGCAAAGGAGGAGAGGACGGATGGAAGGAAGGGACAAAAGGGAGGGAGGAGGACGGAGCACGAGGGGGAATAGCAGGAGGGAACCTAGGAGCAGAAAACACCTGGCAAAACCAGACGGGCAGAGCGGGCGGGTAGACCCTAACGGGCGGGTCGGGGAGGCGGGCCCAGACGGCCAGGTCGAGCAGGCGGGTTGCTGAAGCGTGGGTCCTGCATGAATCGCGAGGAAGTCTCGAGCGATGGCGTGATTCCCAAATAAATCATGACAAAAGCCAAAGCGAGAGCGTGCTTCCTGAGCGCCGAGGGCGCATCGTCTGAATAAATTGCGAGGAAGTCCCACGCGAGAGCGCGATTCGTATACAAAGTTTGAGAAAATCCTGCGCGAGCGCGCGATTGGGGAATCAATTGTGCTGAAACTTCAGGCGAGAGCCGCTGCTGTTGTAAACCGGGGGCCAACGGCACAATTTGAGCCCCGTGACTTCCCCTGATAAAAAACAGGGTACGAGCCCCTGGAGAAGCACTTCAATTGAAAAATGCAACGGTCACACAGGAGGGGGGAGGGATCAGCCACATGTTTTCTTCAGCAATGAAGCGCTGAACAGCAAAAACAACAACAATAACAAAAACAGCAACAACAACAACAACAACAACAACAGCAGCAACAACAACAACAACAACAACAACAACAACAACAACAACAACAACAACAACAACAAATACTACTACTACTACTACTACTACCACTACTACTACTACTACTACTACTACTACTACTACTACTACTACAGTAACAGCAAGAACGACAAAGGTAACGACAATAACAACAAGAACAACAAAAGCAACAACAACAACAACAACAACAACAACAACAACAACAACAACAGCAACAGCAACAGCAACAGCAACAGCAGCAACAACAGCAACACAAACAAGTCTTCCTTCACAGTCCATGCAGGCACGGCCGACGGCGGCGGCAGGCGGCGGAGGTCTTCGGGGCAAGGCCGTTGAGAAAAATGTAAATGGTCTGCTCGGACCCTCTCCGTCCAATGAGGCCGTTACCCCCGTCGGCCTGTCACGGGGCCACCGCCAACGCCTCATCGGTCTGCTTCGTTGGTCCTCCAGCCTCCTCCATCCTCCTCCTCCTCCTCCTCCTCCTCCTCCTCCTCCTGCTCCTCCTCCTCATCCTCATCATCATCATCCTCCTCCTCATTCTCTTCTTCCTCCTCCTCCACCACCTCCTCCACCTCCTCGTCCTCGTCTTCCTCCTACTCCTGATCCTCCTCGTTTTTCTCCGCCTCCTCCGCCTCTTCCTCCTCCTCATCCCCCTCCTCTCACATATATATATATATATATCATAATGCTCGTCCCCTTCCTCTCCTCCTCCACTTCACCCTCCTTTTCGCCCTGATTGTCCACTCTCCATACTTCCTGCTCCTCATCCGCATCCTCCTTCTCCTCCTCCTCATCCTGTCCATGGTGCTGTTCCTCCTTTTCCACCTCCTGAACATCAGCATCCTCCTCATCAACATCCTCATCGTCAGCATCTGCATCATCATTATCGCCGTCCTCATCGTCATTATCATCATCAGCGACGACAATATAATTAGCACCATCACCGGCAGCACCCCTCTAAGCAGTATCGTCCTCTTCCTCCTCGTCAGCACTATCAGCATCAGCCGAATCAGCATCCTCGCCATCATCGTCGCCGTCGTCGCCGTCGTCATCTTCATCGTCATCTTCAGCGACTACATCATCATGACCATCATCATCAGCAGCGTCATCAGCAGCATCAGCATCATCATCCTGATCAGCATCATCATCAGCAGCATCAGCATCAGCCTCATCATGCTTACCATCATCATCCATCATCCATCACCCATCATCCACCATCCATCATCCATCATCCATCACCCATCATCAGCTGTCAACCATCCATTACCCATCATACACCATGAGTCAAACATGATCATCATCATCATCATCATCATCATCATCAGCATCATCATCATCATCAGCATCATCATCATCATCGTCGTCGTCGTCGTCATCATCATCATCATCATCATCATCATCGTAGTCGTCGTCGCCGGTGTCGTCGTGGTCGTCATCTTCGTAATCCTCGCCATCATCATCATCATCATCATCATCATCATCATCATCATCAGCGTCATCATCATCATCATCATCATCATCATCAGCGTCATCATCATCATCATCATCATCATCATCAGCATCATCATCATCATCATTAGCATCAGCAACAATAGCAGCATCAGCATCAGCAGTATCATCATCAGTAACAGCAACATAATCATCAGCGACATCACCCGCATCGTCGGCGTCGTCGTGAGCATCGTCACCACAATCAGCATCAGCATCATCATCATGCCGACCACCGCCACCACCACAACCACCACCATCATCATCAGCAGCAGCATCATCATCAGAATCGTCCTCAGTGTGTCGTCGTCGTTGTCATGGTGATCTCGTCGTCGTCGTCGTCGTGATCGTCGTCATCATCGCCGCCATCGTCAGTATCATCCGCAGCAGCAGCATCGTCACCAGCATCACCATCATCATCATCATCAGCAGCAGCATCCTCATCATCATCAACAGCAGGGATCAGCATCAGCATCATCATCATCAGCATCAGCATCGTCATCACCATCAACATCAACATCAGCATCTCCAGCATCATCATGGTCAGCATCATGGTCAGCATCATCATGATCATCATCATCACCACCACCATCATCATCATCATCATCATCATCATCATCATCATCATCATCATCATCAGCATCAGCATCATCATCATCATCATCAGCAGCATCATCGTCGTCATCGGTCGGCCTGCTCATACGTCGCGACCGTGTTCCGCCTCCTCCTGGCCCGCCCATTTCCCTCCACCTCCTCTCGTGTCCTCGTCATCGTTCGACTGCTGCACCGCAGGGCAGGAGGCGGAGGAGGACGAGGAGGCCGAGGAGGAGGGAGGAGGGAGAAGGGAGAGGGGGGAGGGAGCAGGAAGGGGGGAGGAGCCAGGAGGGGGGAGGGAGGTGAAAGGAGGGATTCCAGCTGGGCGCGCTCACGCCATATCTGACATCCTACCCTCCAACCCACACCCTCCCATTGCGCTGTGTTCTTTATACGCCGACGGGTGTAATCGCGGACCTGGAACCCCAAAAATAACCCTATCGTGTGGTGAGGAATCAAACGAGGCGAGCTGGGTACGTTGAAGGGGGATGTGGTGGATGAGCAGGCGGATGAGCAGGAGGAAGAGGGTGACGATGAGGATGAGGAGGGAGTAGGAGGAGGAACAGCAGCAGCAGGAGCAGGATCAGGACGAGCGGGAGGAGCAGGATAACCAGGGGAAAGCGGAGGAGGAGAAAGGGGGAGGGCGACAATGGCGAGGAAGGACTCGGATTTAAAAGTGTGGTCCTCGCTGGGGCGAGAGCGCGACTCTGAACGACGGGGGCAAAACACCGATCTTGAAATGATGCCAACGCTGCAGCAGAAGCACCACTTTAACAAAAAAGCGCTCCGATCCAACAAACACATGTGACAGAACCAGGTGCTGCAATCCGATGCGTTACAAACAAAAATGCGGGAGAAAAGAGGCCACGCACGGACAACATCCGGGGAGAGAGGCGAGCAGTGGTCATATTGAGCCATTGTCGAGAGGAGGGAGGAAGGAGGGAGCGAGGGAGGGAGGAAAGAAGGATAGGGAAGGAACGGAGGATGGGAAGAAGGAAGGAGGGATGGAGGGAGGGGAGGAGAGAGGACGCAGAAGGGAGGACGCAGGAGGGAGGACGGCCCCATCGCTGCTGTTGGGCTTATGCGCTGCGGCCGTCGTGTGGGAGCTGCTGGCACCAGATACGACCTGCAGTGCATCAGGGCTGTCGGCCCCAGTGGTTTCGAAAGGTCCCCGTACCAAACGAGACGTGCACACTGGGTGAGCATCGCACTGCAACCTACATCAGTATTTTCGTGTCGTGACGACCCAGGCGTCGGTCCCTGACACCGCGTGGGTCGAACAGCATTGAATGATCATTCGGTACCGGCCGATTCTGGCCAACAGCGTTAAACCTTGAAACCCCACGCCGAGGTCGACGTCGCGTCAACACAACACGAACTTGCCGCAGTTTTAGACCACGCTCTTCTCGATCGTGCAAGAAACAAATACGTATAGCCCCGTCTGCTCCGAGCTGTGCTCTGATGCCTCACGGAAGGCACTAGAGACACACGCGCTGCGTAAATCTACACTTATAGATATGAACTGAATCTGAAATTGAGGCTTCAACAAATCCGCGCAGGCAAAAAAAATGCCGCATGTGTTGCTCCTTCGCGAAAAAATCTTGGGCCCTGCTGCGCGAGCCCTGCTGAGCGACATCCACCCGAAAGGGGGACACGGCGAACTGGACCCACGGGAACTGGGCGGGGACGAATGCCAGCACAGCGCCATGTTCCGGTCTCACGCGGGGCGGCCACGGTAGGTGAGGAGGCAAAGAATTCCTCCTCCTCCTCCTCCTCCTCCTCCTCCTCCTCCTCCTCCTCCTCCTCCTCCTCCGCCCCCATCCACCTCCTCCTCCTCCTCCTCTTCACCCTCTTTGCGTCATCCTCCTCATCCTGCTCCTGCTGCTGCTGAGTCGCGTCTTTCCCTCCCCCTCCTCCTCCTCCTCCTCCTCCTCCTCCTCCTCCCTCCTCCTCCTCCTCCTCCTCCTCCTCCTTTTTCCTCCTCCTCCTCCTGCCTCCTCCTCCTCCTCCTCCTCCTCCTCCTCCTCCTCCCTCCTCCTCCTCCTCCTCCTCCTACGTTTCTACGTTTCTCGCTATGCAGCGTCTTGTCGCGCGCCCCGCGGGCGCGGAGCGCTCTGCAGCGGCCCTCCAGGGCCGTGCGGGCACTCAGACAGCGGCCCCGGGAACCCGACCCCGAGGAAAGCAGGGAGCCAGGGACCAAATAATCACAGAGAAGGGAGAAGGGGGGCCGGGTTTCAGCAAAACTAAAAAGATGAGGGCCCGTCTGGGCCCTCAGCGGGCGCCGCGCTCGCCCGTGCCAGCTCAGCCAGCTCGGCGCGCAGCCAGGCCTTCGGCCTCTTTGTGGGCGGTCGGCCTCTTGTGTGGCGGCTGGGCTCCCTTCGGCGCCTCGCGCTGAGCCCAGCCGCCAGATCATCAGATGGATGGCCGCCTTCTCTGCGGCGGCCTCCACCCTTCGGCGCTTAGCGCTGTGGAGGCCCGCCGAGCCTCTCTTGGACTCCGGCGGCTCTGCAGCAATCTCCTCGCCTGCCACGCGAGGGCGGTGGGGAGACACCCTTCGGCGCCAGGCGCTGTGTCTCCCTCACCGCGGGGCAGGCTGCCCCTTTTGGTCGAGTACTCCATGGCTTGTAATTCTCCATGGTGACTGACGCTGTATACTTCCAGTACTGCCTGACGTTGCAGAGCTGCTCCATGTAGAGCTTGCGCTTGTAGGGCTCCATGTAGAGCTGCGGTGCTACCGTCGTCAGTCATGACCCCCCTGCTTTTGAGGTGCAGGGGGGTGCTGATCACGGATGTTGTAGATGTCGATGTATGGGGGCTGAGTGCAAGATGTGGAGCGAGTTGGACGGTCGTTGGGGGTCGGTTCGTTGCTGGTGTTGTGTTGGTTGTGGGCTCCCAAGGCCTCCATGCACCGACTTCAAGTGGGGGTCCTTGCTGTCCCACCTCGTCCCGCTATGGCTAGGGGTCACGGTGCCCTCGGTGGGGGCGAACCCCAGGCCTGGTACTTGTTATCGTCGGAGTGGGGTGTCTCGGCTGTCCAGCTTCGCCCTCGGGCGATCGGGTAGCTCCTCCTTCTCCATGGGAATGGTGGGGGTGGCGAGCTAGGGCGGACCGCGGGGGCGCAGGTAGTGGCCGTCCTACCCCCCCCCCCCTGCCCCTCACCATCCCCGCTGGCGGGCGCGGGAAGTACTCGTCCTTCCCCCCCAGCCCTTCGAGCCCGTCTCGAAGTTTGATCCTCACCAGGACAGCGTTGACTTGGCAGGAGTTGTGTGGGGTCGTGCCGGGTATGCTGTCGATGTCGGTCGGTGGCACGCTGGC